TATATTTAAGCTAATACTTTAACTCTGAATATGATTTTAGCCCTATCTCATAAATTCTGATATATAGGCTTCCTTATTGTTTTCTAGAAATGCTCTCTATAATATTAGCTTATGCTTCTCTTTTAACCTAAGATTTGCTTAATAGAAGTTCATTCGTTCTTGGGAAGAATAGCCTTTCACTTTGCTCAACTTTGAAATATGTTGCACTATGATCAGAGAACAAGGCTTATATTGATCTATTTGGAATTCAGCTAGATTTTCTTGACAGCCTAATATATATGCAAGTTTTCGTGCATGTGAACTGGGTCACCTTTTGAAATTGCATGACTCCTCTAGTTCCTTTATTGGGGTTGCCTGGATTTCCACCTTCATAAGACTGGATCCTTGTGTTTACTTTTGGTTGGACTTTTTCCTAATACACATATTTAGTTGTGGTGTAAAAATACATAACTTAATATTTACCATCTTATTTAGGTTTACAGTTCAGTGGCGTTGAGTTCCTTCACACTGCTGTGCAACCATCATCCGTACACATTTTCCTCTGCATTTTTCTGACAGTACTGGGGTTTGAACTCAGGGCCTTGCACTTGCTGGGCAAGGCAGGCACTGTATCACTTGAATCATTCCGCCAGTTGACAGCACTCATCTTCAGAACTCTTTTCACGTTGTCAGAACGTTACTTTGTACCCATTAAACAGCAAATCACGGTTCCCTTTCTCTTCCGGCTCCTGTAACCACCACTGTCTGTTCCTGTAAACTTGACAACTTCAGGTACCTCAAAGAAATAGAATAACACAGGACTTTTTTTCCTTATGACAAACTTATTTCACCTACCCTTATGACAAACTTATTTCACCTAACATAATGTCTTCAGGGTGTTTTCTTATTTTCTCTTACAGTAGGCAAGCTAAGTTCTTCTACAGTTTGTTAGAGTTATGGTGTGTTTGTACAGTTTTTCTAAGCTTTTGCCATGTGACCTGTTTTCCTCATTTTTTATGATGTTGCTATTTGGCTGTAGTTGTTTTTATATTAATTTGGAAACTAAAAATATACGATGGAGAAATAGCAGCCTCTTCAACAAAAACTGCTGGGAAAACTGGTTAGCAGTCTGCAAAAAACTGAAACTAGATCCATGTATATCACCCTATACCAAGATTAACTCAAAATGGAACAAGGATCTTAATATCAGACCCCAAACTCTTAAGTTGATACAAGAAAGAGTAGGAAATACTCTGGAGTTAGTAGGTATAGGTAAGAACTTTCTCAATGAAACCCCAGCAGCACAGCAACTAAGAGATAGCATAGATAAATGGGACCTCATAAAACTAAAAAGCTTCTGTTCATCAAAAGAAATGGTCTCTAAACTGAAGAGAACACCCACAGAGTGGGAGAAAATATTTGCTAATTTTGCTTTTTATAGGAAGAATGTATTTTCAGGTAATACCCTATTCCCACATTTTTGGGCAAAGTCTATTTGTTTATGTCTGAAAAAATAATAAAAATTAGCTTACAATGTTTTCTCCCTCCTCTTTCCCTTCCTCTCCTCACTATGTAATTTTATTCAATGTTAAAATCTTTCTTTGTATTTATACTTGTTCTCTAACAAATACGTTTAGAGAACATATGTTAGAGAAAATATGTTAGATGAAATTCTATTTCATTTTAGCTTAAAATTTACTTTTTGACTTCCACCTGTAACTGATAAAGGAAAGAATAAGGGAAAGAAGGAAGATTTAAAACAATTGAAAATTCCATCAATCAAAGAATAATTTAATAAATTATTTTAAAATTTTAAATAGCTTATAAAATGCTATTCATTTATAAAAAATGAAATCAATCCACATGTATTCATATTGTGAAAGGTGAAAATATAAGTCCTAGAACAATATACAGTATGGTATACAATAAATTATATATATCCCATTTATGACATAAATATACATGTAAGCATATGTATTTATATACCTTACAATACTAGCCTGCAGACTAAGTTAAAAGGTCTGAGGTATGAGAGAGAACAAAAGGAATTTTATTCTTTATCCTATTTACATTTCCATTGTTAGAACTGTTTTATAGTTGTCCTTATATTTGACAAAAATTATGAAAATATTAACACTTGAATTCTTAAAATATATAATCAGAGAAAAATCTACTTGATTACAAGTAAATTTATTAACTGAACTTTCATTTTCTCATAATTTGAAAGTACATAAAAACAAATCAAATGGCAGCAAATTTAAAATCTTTTGAATTATCTAATAACTAGTGTTCCTTCATATTTGAGAAGAAATAGTTGGGCTAACTACTCCTGAGTTTTGGTTAGACTTTTTAGACTTCCCGTTTTCTCCATTTTTCCTCAAAGGAATCAAGCTGGATTAGCCTGAATTCAGTTTTAATATATAATGTTCTCCAGTGTTTTGATCTTTCTTTTTTATAAAGAAAAAGACAGATATCTATGAATTCTTAACTTGTCTTTGAAAAATTAAAGTTTCTTCTGTGCAGAAACAGGTAGCCCCGCTAAGCTTTTGAATACCCTAGGGTGATCCTCCTGTTAGTGATTCTTTGATCTTTGATGTTGTGTCCCTGCAGTACAAGGATGGAAAATTAGCTAAGCAAAGTTTGGCCTCAAATCCGTCATGATGAAAATTGTCTTACAACACCATCTTCTTTAGAATGAAAGATGACGATTACTGTTACATTTATCTTGAATATCTTTCATATCTAATTGAAGTGATAAAACAATGAAACTATTACAGTTGGCCATATCACCTTCCTAGATTGTGTTTCTTCTTTTACCTTCTCTCCCCATCTATCTCTACCTCTCCAAATTCTCATCAGGTAGTTTCCTGTCCTGTTTCAGAGGAAACAGAAACCAAATGAAATGAATGACCTTATCCCTGCACAAATTCATTCCCTCCTCCCATGAAAGGTCATCCACATCCTCGTGCCTTTGGTTGCTATCTATTCTCACTCTTTCAGGAATTCTTTGCAATATGTTATGCAATATTTCCCAGAACCTTCCATTTGTCCTTCTTTGCCAACTCATCCTATTGAATTTGAACATGTTTGAATCCTCATTATTTTATTCAAAAAGATCTCTTTTATCCCTGTCTCCTCATTCACTGCCACACTTATTTGTGGGTTTACTACCTTCGTGTCTATGTTTTTTTTATTACAATAGCAGTCTCAAGTTCATACTGGATGCTGTTCCTTTTGAGGTAATCAAGAATATTCAAACAAGGTTTTTAGCATCATTTCTTCCAGTTGTCATTGAAAGAGTTCAGCCACTCCTTTTCAGTTTTCCTTTATTCTGCTTTGACCCATCCTGAATCACTAAACTTTGTATGCTTGCTTTTGGCCATCACTTTTACCTTGTCTATACTTCCCTTATTGTGCTTTTCACACTTATTTCTTAAGAACTTGGCATTTACAAACAGGCAACTTTAAGCCATGTTGTCGACAAAATATTTCTTTCTCCCTCCAACATATAGGAATCAGTAGACTTGACAGTTAACAAATCAGAAGATTTGTTAACACTGGCTACATATTCACACTTGGCAATGATCTGCCTTGAGCAAAGCAGCAGCAGTGCAGAGCATGTTGTGGCCAGTTCAGCCAAAGTACCACTAGACAAGGCACACTCACCATCTACATTTTGTACCTTCCATCTTGGACATCTGACTTTGCAACCACTGGTACATGCTTGTCTCTTCCACTAAACTGAGTAGTTCCTTGGCTTGTGAGTTCTTTGAAATAATGAGACAAACTTTTCATTTACCTCTGAATCCTATATTACATATATGTTTCCTGGAATACAGCGGGTGCTCAATGACATTCATTAAGTGGTTGATGAATAGATTAAAAGAATGAATACATTCTTATTGATATTTAATTTCAACTTAATGGAATCCACTATGGAAATCTAATATAGGAGAATAGCCAAAATGATGACTATGAACTCAAGAACAGTTCTAAAATAAGTATGTTTAACATTGAATCAAAATTTGATCCACAGTGCTAGGTCAGCTGTAGATTCACTTTCATAAGGTATTTCATGGCTTAACAGGCTATAGGGGGTTGAATGTCATCTTAAAGAGCAAACTGGTCTTGAGACAGATGAACAAAACAGCTTCTAGAGAGGAAAAAAATGTGCTCCTCTAGTTCCAACAGCCAGTCCTAACAGGGGTTCTAGTATCCAGACAGTGCTACTACATATACCTGTGAGTGGACTGAAATAATAATTGGAAATATGGCTGTTCCTTTAAACAGGAAGGTAACAGTGGGTGCTGTTTCAAGTCTCCAACAGACCTAAGTGATACTGACTCTGTCATCTTGCTTATCGGACCCCCTAATTTCGGACTGTGTAATCTGCACGACTCTAACAATAATATAATATAAAAAATATTTGGAAAGTGTAAAATATAGAAGTTCCAAGGACCATTCTCTTCTTTTAACCATATTCCTTTAATAATATTTTCAACATGTGTTTAGTCAGATGATTTTTAAGGTTCTTCATATTTTGAAGGGCAATTCCTTTGGCCCTTCAAAAGTAAATCTTCTAATATAACTTTATAACTCCTTACTCACAGTGTGCTTGATTCTTTACTATTGACATAAATGTTGAATTAAAAGTAACAGAAAACACTAATATTAATAAAGATGATAAAGAAAAATGTGAGTGTAATTTTTTGCACATGTTGAAGACAGTATAGTCCAGTCAGTGGGCATCAGCAAACAGTAATATTTAGATGTGTACACCAATTTTTGCATGTGAGAGATGTGTGGTAAAGATTAGGTTAAATGTTGAATCATCCAAACAAGAAATGAAATATTTGAGGGTTTTTTATTTATAAATAAATATTCAGCAAAAACAATTTTGGTTCAAATCTTCTAACAAGTAAAAACCTAACGGTTTTCAGCTCAACCTGTTCCTTCTAAAAAGTATGTTTCATAAGGGATTTTGTGATGTGTTGAAATACTCTTCTTTCTGCCATTCATTTTTATGTCTGCAAGGGTTCTTGATAAGACAGAATCCTAAATGAGAGAGAAAAAGAGAATTTTTTAAAATAAGCATCAATTTTACAACCTTCGCCATTTGATGTTTTGTATAATGAGTCATTTTCAAACTTAGGTACTAACAAGGGCAATAGCCATCCCTGGTAGATAACATCACCACTCCAACATCATTTACTATACTAACCTTTTTATAACTTTTTCTAAACTATTTACCCCCTGTTTTCTTGTAAATGAGGAAGCCAAGGTATACCAAAATATTTAGGCAGCATGTAACATTTCTTCACTTTGATTTTTATCACAATTAAAAATAAAAAGAAATTTTTTACCCACGTGAATCTTTTGAATTTTTGAGTGTTCAAAATATCTAAAAAGTTGACTTTATGTAGCTCAAAGAGTTAGTTCATTGTGTACACTTACAAGAACAGTACCATGGCCATTTTGTCAAGAGTGTTTCTAATATTCATAACAATACAAGACATAATTTCCACTCTCTGTTCTATCTTCAGAAGGATAAAAATTCTGATCCTATTAAATGATTTATATCATTTTATTATAGTCTCTTGCTACTTTTCTGAGAAACGAACAGGATTACTTTTCACCTATCAGGTAGTACAAAAGATATCTTTGAAATTGTCATATGTAGAATCACTTCAGTAAATGTTTATAAATACTCATATACAGATATGGTCCTAAAAATAAATATCACAATTTTAATCATTACTATAAACATGCTTTTGTCTTGGTAGAAAGGCGTATACAACTGTGTTTCCCAACCTCTACTTAGGACTTATACTAAGGATGGTGAGAAAATGTGATTTATATATATATATATGTATATAAAATTTCCTATGTATTATTTCAGAATATATACACTAAATTTTGTGCATTTAAATATTGTACATACAAGTTGACTTGTTTATCTGGTTGTCAAAGTGTCACAAATATCAAATGGCAAATAGCTAAAAATTCAGAAAGCTTGTTGAATTAATACTTTCAGGCATTTGCTTGACTTTAAAAATGAAGAAAACATGATTCTTTTTCCTTTATAATAGCCATAAAGTAGGGATACTGTGGAACATAATATTTCTGAAATTTATACCAGAAATAATCTCTTGAATAACAATCTGAAAAAAAAAGAAACCATTGTAGGTGCCTCTTCTTACCTCTCTCTCTGAATACACCTTGGATATTTCAACTGTCCTCTGTCACACTGCACTCTAAGTTCAGACCCCATAATAGATGAGTCTCTTATATAAGTATCTCTTCTACAAAGAAACTCAATATACTCGCCATGAAAAATATATGGTCTATTGTCAAAATCCCATTTTAAGAGTAAATTATTCTTTTCCATTTCAGCAAAAGATAATGTGCACGGTTCTGAAAGAAAAAAATAGAAAATTATCTTAACATATCTTGGTACTAACATACATCATGGTGCCAATTCATGAAGACCTTAAAATCTGACAATGGCAAGAACTAAAGTGCCCATGTTAACAACATTCAACCAATCCATGAACATGGTAGTCTTTCCATGTTCTAGTGTCTACTTCTTCTATGCTTTATAATTTCCATTGTAGAGGTCTTTAATATCTTTCATTAACATGCCCATATTGCCAAAAGAAATACATAGAGTCAATGCAGTCTCCATCAAAATTTCAATAGCATTCTTCACAGAAACAAAACAATTAATTTATATGGAAGCACAAAAAGCCCCAAATAGCCAATAGCCAATCCTGAGAAAAATACCAATGTTGGAAACATTGGGGATATCACAGTACTGGATCTCAACTCATACTGTAGGGCCATAGTAACAAAAACAACAATGATACTGGCACAAACAAACACAGACCAATGGAAGAAAATAGAAGATTGCTACAGCAATCTGATTTTCAACGAAGGTGCCCAAAACATACATTGGTAAAAAGACAGCCTCTTTAACAAGTGATGGAAAAACTGTCTACAGGTAGAAGACTGAAACTAGATGACTATCCCTCACATTGCACAAAAACACTCCAAGATATAGGCATAGGCAATGACTTTCTGGATAATACCCTAATAGTTCAATAGCTCAAGAATTGACAAGAAGGACTGCATTAACTTAAAATGATTATGGATAGTGAAAGAAACAACAGAGGGAAGAGACAGCCTAAAGAATTGGGGGAAATCATTGCCAGCTATTCATCTGGCAGGAGATTAATACCTAGAAAATACACAGAACTTGAAAGTTTAAGCACCCAAAGAGCAAAGCATACAGTCAATAAATGGGCAAATGAACTAAACAGACACTTTTCTTTCTTTCTTTGGAGGGGGGTGGTTACTAGGGTTTCAACTCAAGGTGTTGTGCATGCCAGGCAGGTGTTCTACAACTTGAGCCACTCAACCAGCCAGCCCTTTTTGCTCTGGTTACTTTTAAGAGAGGGTATCACTTTATGGTTGGGTCATGTATATATTTCCCAAATAGCTAGGATAATAGGTGCACACAAACAGGTCCAGATTTAATTGGTTGAGATGGTTGAGATGGGTTGTTGCTAACTGTTGCTTGAGCTGGCCTCTGGAACCATGATCCTCTCAATGTCTACTTCTGGAGTAAGTAAGATTATAGGCATGAGCCACCACAACGGCCCTGAGTAAACACTTTTCAAATGAACAAGGACAAATACCAATACAAACATGAAAAAAGTTTTCAACATCTTTAGCCACCAAGGAAATGCAAATCAAAACAGCACTGAGATTCTACCACATGCCAGTCAGAATGGTTATCATCAAGAGAACAAGCAACAACACATGCTAGAAGGGTATGAGGGATAAAAGAACCCCTTATACATGGTTGGTGGGAATGCAAATTAGTTCACCACTATGGAAATCACTATGCATGTTCCTCAAAAACTAAAAATAGAACTATATGATCCTGCTATACTACTTTGAGGATATAACCAAAAGAATCAAAGAGAGTTTATTATGCAGACACTTGCATTACTCATGTTTATTGCTGTACTATGCACAGTATGCAAATCATGGAACCAGCCTATTAACTGATGAATGGATAAAGAAAATGTGATAAATATATATACAATAGAGCTTTCTTCAGACACAAAGAAGAATGGAATTGTTTCATTTGTAGGAAAATTGATGGAACTGGAAATCACATGTTAAAGGAAATAAGCCAGACTCACAAAGACAATTGTTGCATGTTTTTTCTAATATGTGGAATCTAGGGGATAGAAGAAGGACATGAAAGTAAAGGAAGAATTATTAGGGCTGTGGAAGAGGAAGGAGACAGTAAGAGAGCGGGTAAGAGAGGATAAACATTGCCAAAGCAATGTTTTGTATATGTGTGTATACAAATGTACAATGTATATGTTTTGTATATGTGTGTACACACGTGTATGGAGGCAGCAAAATGAATCCAATTACTTTTTACAATTACATATGCTAATAAAAAAGGAAAACTAAAATACAGATATCCAAATCAATATAGATATGGATAAACTTAATTAAAACCAAAATTCAATTCAATTGGTATATATGCAACATCAGTGAACCCAACAATGACAAAGTTATCCATTTTCAAAGACAAAAGCACATTTACCTAAAGTAAATACATGCTTGTTATCAAACAAATATAAATGAATTTCAAAGAAAAGATATAATTCAAAGTGTATCACAAAAAACTAAACCAGAAATCAACAACCTTAAGAAAACTTCCCATTTAGAACTTATAAAAAGAAAGTTTTAAATACTTCAGAGCACATAGATGACACCAAAATTATATTGTATTTTTTTAACTAGATGATTTAAAAATCCAAAATATAAATATGTGTGGGACAAGGCTAAAGTTACACTCAGAGGAAAATTGGCACCATTAAATTCATATATTTAAGCCAAAAATCAGGAACCTGGGAAACCACCTAAACAAGCCAGAAAAAGACTAATAAAATAACCCTGAGAAAAAGGAAGAGAGGAAATAATAAAGATAAAAGCATAAATTTAGTGAAATAGAAGGCAATACTTGAACAAGTCAACAAATATAAACATTTATCCTTTGAAGAGACTAATAATGTTTATAAGCTTACTTCACTGGTTACACTCTAATAAAATTTATAAGATGTCAAGAATGAAACAGATACATGCCGATAACAATCATAATGAATGATATATCACTAAGATATTAAAATGAGGATAAAAGAATGCCATGAGTCACTTTATGTCAACTAACTGGGCAACTTAGGTGTAATAGACAAATTCCAGGAAACCATTCTTACTCAACCACCAGGAAAAATAATGAGCTAATGTCCATTAAACAAATTGAAACTATCGTTAAAATCTTTCCATAAAGAAGTCTCAAGAACTAGACGGTTTCCCCATTAACTCTTACAATTATTACAAATAAAGTAGCACCAGTTGTACACAAATTGCAGATAACTAAAAAAAGGAAACACTTTCCAATTCATTGTATGAGGTCAGCAGAAATTTCATATCAACACTGTAAAGAAAATAACAGATCAATCTTGTTCATGAAAATAGATGCAAAACTCCTAAGTCCATAATACCAAATAAAATCTAACTCTTATCATAAGCATAATCCATCATAAGCATGTGGGATTTCTTATGAGAGTGCAATCATGCTTTAACATTCAAAAAAGAATCAATATAACTCACTAAATGCAAAGGAAAAAAGAAATAATCCTATGATTACTGAAATAGATACTAATAAAATTAAACTGTGGAGGTTATTTAAAATACTTTTAACAAAATAGAAAGCTTCTGTACCTAATTTTTAAAAAGTATTTATTAGGCTATGAGCTAGATATTTGTAATCTAGAGGAAACACTAAAAGCCAGTGATTAAATAGGAATATCAATAAATTAACACAAATGCAGCAAACTAAGCATTATGTTAATGTCAGATCAACTACAATGACAGAAAGTTAAATGTGTCTTCATTTTAATTCATAGAGGTATATTTAGTAGAACATACCTAAACACAATGGTCGTGCAGTCCACACACCCTCTACACAGTAGGCCTCCCGAGGTCCTTGTAGGAAATGGTGATCAAAACACCTGTATTCTATTGAGGAACCATTTTCATAGATGCCAACTGTTGAACTAATAATGACTCCATTTTTAATAAGCGGAGGAGATGCACACCTTCCTTTAGATTCTGCAAAAATGATTTTAAAGTTTGAAATGGGTGTCTATAATGAGCACCCAGCTAGCTCATAACTACTAAAGAAATAAATTACACATTTTATTGCCTTAAAGACATTTAAGGCAGTTCTCAAATATTTTTAAAAATAGAAAATATTTCTGTAATTATATCAAACTATAAAAGTTATTGCATTAGAGTTTTCCAGGGTATAAAATTTAAATACAGATTTTCAAAAATAGTTACAATCACATTCCTGTCATTCATTTTTCCGGACAAGGTTCCACTTATGAGAGAGAACATGTGATACTTGTCTTTCTCGGTCTGACTTATTTCACTTAACATGATGACCTCTAGTTCCATCCACTTTCCTGTAAATGACATAATTTAACTCTTCTTTATGGCTGAATAATGCTCCATTGTGTATATATACCACATTTTCTTTATCCGTTCATTGGTAGATGGACACCGAGGCTGATTCCATAAATTGACTATTGTGAATACTGCTGCTATAATCATGAGTGTATCTCCATTGCATGTTTACTTGCAATGGGAGTGAGTACCATCAGATAAAGGGAGGACACAGGAGATGGTAGGGGCCAGTGAACATGGTCAAAGTACTTTAAACACATGTAATACATGTATGAAAATAGAACAATGAAATAAACACATGCAATGCACGTATGAAAATAGAAGGAATAAACAAGGAGCATTTGATTAGGGTACATTGTATGCATATATGGAAATACCACAATGAGACCCTTTTGAACAACTAATATATGCTAATAAAAATGGGAAAACTATTAACAGTTGCAATTTTATTTTTCCTTTTCAGTCTACTGGAAAGTGAGAATGTATGAGCTCTCTCTTGAAGCCATGCTTTCCACATGCATTTTCTTCTTTTTTTTTCTTAGTAAAAGTAATACTCCCTGTCTCCAGGGAATAAACAATCTGTCTCACATTCAGCTTCAAGCTCTTTTCTGAGGTAAGGGTCCCCAGAAAACCCTAAGTAAGGCAATGTTTTATAGCACTGTTGCATGCTGACATGAGGATAAGTCATCCTCTAGTAGTTTGGGGATACTTACAAAACCCCTTAATTTTTCTCTTCATAAAAATGACTTCTTAGAATTCATATGTGTCAGCATAATCATCCTATCTAAGTGTACATGTTAACTTTAATTTAGAAGATGGATCAGTCCCGATTTATAGGTTAAGAAGATGACAGTTACTTGGTTAGGGTCATGAGTATAAACTTTCAACCTTTAACCAAGGGAGAAATTGCTTCAAAGCACTGTTGTTTTACCTTTTCTAACACACTGTGGATATTTCACTTCGCTCCTGTTGCACTGCACAGACAACTCAGACAGTGGGGTCGAGGGAGGCAAGTCATAGCCCTGCTTGCATACAAAGTCTACTAGATCTCCATGTAAGACCTTCCCTTCATACGTCCACTTCATCTCTATGTTATTTCTGTCCATGTGATCCACACTAACAGTGCATGGCTCTGAAAGACAAAGCGCGATTTTAAATCTTTCACTCACCTGACATATGAAAGTGATATACTTTAGAAACAAGAATTATGGACTGGAGGCATGGCTCAAGTGATAGACTGGACACCCCTGCAAGCACAAAGTCCTAAGTTCAAACCCCATTGCTGCCAAGAAAAAAAATGACAATGATCCAAAGTAGTATTTCACATTTGACATTTGTCATCATTAAAGCTCCTCTCACATATAGATAATAAAATATATACTTTATCATTATTAAATGATTTTATACATTCCTTATTGTCTTCATTATGTCATAATTAAAATCAATTCATTTGAAACATCAAAAATACTGTTCTAGGCCACAAGACAGTCAGGTAAATCATGATTTTCTTTCAATAATATGGTAACATTGAGGGCAAGGCATGAATTTGTGATTTTAGCCACTCAGGAGGCAGATGTAAGAGGACTGTGGCTTGAGGCCACTTGGGCAAAAGCTTGAGAACCTATCTTAAAAACTCTAAAACAAAAGGACTGGAGTCGTGGCTCAAGTGGTTAGAGAACTTTCCTAGCAAGCATGAGGCCCTGAGTTCAATCCCCACTTCCTCTGAAAATAGATAAATGACTTAGAAATTGAAAGTATACTTAACTTTTAAACATCTATAAAAACCTGCTGCTCAATACATATTGATGAGTAAAGCTAAGACTCTGTTTACCTTCTAACTGAAGCACCTATAATAATATATGAGTTTTTAATTTGTGATCATCTTAAAACTACAGCCTATGATATATTAGTTGGAAAAAAGAGTTGACAAGAGGGAAGGCTATCAAAAGTTTAGAGGAAAGGGAAGTTGCACATTTAAGTAAGATGACTGAGTAGACCTACTTGCACAAAAACTTGCGCAAGGTTATTAAGGAGTCAACTGTGTCTTTTTCTGATGATAAAGTGTTCCTGACAGAGGGAATAACCAACAAAAACACCCTGAGCTGCAAGGATGCTTGGCTTGTTTGGAGAAAAATAAAAAGACAAGAATGTTTGGAGTAGAGAGAGAACAGGAAAAGGTTAGAAAAGTTCACGTCTGGAATAAGAATTCAGATTTTAAAATATCTACTCCTTATATTGTCGGAATCTGTAGTGGGAGCTTATTCAATTTCAACAGATAAACCAGATGTAAAAGACTCTCTCCTCCTGCCCTGATGCCAGCTTCACTAGGTATTTGCTTTCATTCATTAGCCACAGGACTAAATGTCTTGAGGCAACTGATCCAGGCAGAGAATGACAGGTTTCTTTAAACCTTGTCATTCCTTATGAGGTTGTTTCTTTGCTATTTCATCCAGTCTCTGTCCTCACATCACCAAAAACTTAATATCAAGAACATTTATGAAAATATGAGAGCCATAGAAAAATTATAGGTGATGTGTTTGAATTAGAATGCAAATAGCATCCTGGGAAGACAGAAACCACAAACAAAAAGTTAAAAGAGGTTAAGATATAAAACTAACTGGCCTATGTCTTTTAACACCATAAACACAAACTAAATAAAAATAGTTGCAATAGCCAATTCTCAAGTGAATAGTATAATTTATGTAGATATAGGTCTTATGAACGTATAAAAATGTAGAAAAATGAAATTAATGTAAATTTTCTTATTAGATTAAAAAATAGAGTGATTAAAATATTCAAGGTTGACAAAGATTAAGAAAACTGCTACTTTAATTCACTTATGTTAAGGTTATTTAACAGAAAAAACTTTGTGAAGGACCATTTATCAACTAAGAAAAAGCTTAAAATTCCAGATGTCTTCAGAATAGAAATTTCAATTCAGAGAAGAAAATAAAACATAGAAAAATAAATGTAATTAATTCATAAATAAAAATAAATATTTTTAAAATGTAAACATATTTAGTTACAAAATGTACACTTACATTATTAAAATATTGAATGCTGAATCTCCATCAATAAATGTTAAATTAATTATGGTTATATAAGCACTATGGAATATTCTGCAGTCATTAAAACACATATGTAGAAGTAAGTCAATCCATGCTTGTCACATACTTTAAGTGGATAAAACACACACTAAATCTGCGTAGTGTGCTAACACTTTTGTGTGTGCCCGTGCTTGCACATATCCAGAAAAAGGTTTAGAAGGCCATTTACTATCTAAGTGATTGTTTCAGGCAGGACTACTGATATTTTCTGCATTCTTTTAGCTGCTTTAGTTTACTTATTACTGTTTTCATAACTAACACTGAGTTGCTTCTGTAGTTGAAAATTTCTAATATTTTATTTAAATGAATATTTTAACTTCAGGAAATATAAAAGTCATAATGTAACATGTTTAATGCACCTATAGTGATTGGTTACATTACTCTTAAGTGCAACTTGGGTGACCAAATGAAGTAACTCTATAGGTTAGAGATGAGAGGTGAATATTTTTTTCTCCATTGAATTTCAAAGTCAGTAACTATTTTAATAACTGCATCAATTTTCCACTTGAAACATGAATGTTCCTTATATCATGCCTTAATCCAAAATATACTCAGAAGCACTATAAACATTGTATATGATCAATAAGATGTAATAAAGGTAACTACTTGGATGAGGAAGTGGTTGCATAGAAACTACCACAATACGATCTACCAAGGAAAGGCCTGGACTGACTTGTTATGCTTCTCCCCGAATAGTGCTGTGCGGACAATATCAGCAGAGACATTGAGGGCGGAAAACCTGAATTTACTAATGCTACTGAATTACACACTAAGATGATAAATTACATCCTGTAATACTTTCCCATAAGAAAAATAAGTATTGGGGTAGGAACTAATGTGGCCCTAGACACTAAGATGTTACAGATCTTCTGCTTAAATAAATGAAGGGAAATATTTCAAAAAAAAAATCTCTAAGAAACCATTTCTGTTATAAAACATAAAAACACAAAATGACAAAAAAATAAAAATACAAACATTAACAGTATAAAAAATCTAGTGTGTTCTCTTTCTTACCCAAGCAAACAGGTGGAGATGACCATTTTCCTTGTTCACAGTGAGATAGCTTCGGTCCCCTCAATAAGTAGTACTCAATACATCTGTATTCCACTGAGGAACCTGTTGTGTAACTTGTCTGTAACCCACCAACAACCTCTCCATTCATCACCTCAGGTGGAGGCTTACAATTCTCAATATTTTCTAAGAAAAGAGATTGTTTAAAATTAATACAAACTGATAGCAATATAATGATACAATACGGTAACCCAAACTATTATATCTCAACAGCTATAATGTATAATTTAGGACAGCAGATTTCTAAATTCATGAGAGATGAAAATAAATGCTGCTCAGCTCAAGTAGTTTTAAAATTTACTGAGCAAGAAAGAATAGCGAGAACTAGTATATATATTTTTCTATTTTCTTCACTATGAAGGGATTATGATAAAGATACTCAAAACGTTTAGAACGACTTTAACCAACTCTAAAACTGCCCTTTGGCATGATCCATTTTTACTCTTTTCCTTCTTATTTTTTATCCCAGTTCTTAATTGACTCATGGACAAAATGTCCACTTTTTTCTCTCTGTTTAAAATATTTCTCTTCCTCTGCTAATTTATTCAGCACCCTTTATAGCTCTTTCCTTATTAATAAATATCCTAGATAAATTTGTTTGGAGAGCTCTTTTCAATATCTGATCAAGAAATGAGAAGGAGAGCAGGAAGGGTAACTCCCAAGAGTGATAGGTTAGCCTGGTGATGTCCTTCAGTGTCTCAAAAAGGGAAGATTCAGAATGGCTAGATGCAAAAGTAATGTCACCAGACTTACTTGATATCAGAAACAAAGATGGCTCCAGTCACATTAAAAAAAAAAGTAGCACAATAGGTGCAGTAACAATATGTTTCTAAGTCTTGTGAGGAGTGGTCTTTGGCTATGATAATGTATATTAAATAAACAGAATGGAAAATTTTGCACTATGGGCTTAGCTATTGATGTAAAGGCAGAATACATACCAACACACTCAGGGGCAAGTGTCCATTTTCCACGATTACAAGCTATTTCATTTGATCCACGGAGGTGGTACCCCTTTTCACATCTATATGGCACTTTATCCCCACTGTAATAAATTGTAGAGTGTAGGATTGCTGCACCATTCTCAATAAAGGGTGGGTTCTCACAGGCTATCTTCTCCTTTTCTTCTGAAAAGGTAATTTAAACAGAAGAGACCATTTAGCTACATATGCAGATTGCATTTTAGGGAAAGCTTTTTCAAAATGTTACCAACCAATGCATTTAGGAGGTTCTGTCCATTTTCCATTTTCACAACGTATTTGTTCTGACCCCTGGATCACAAAATTAAGAGCACATTCTATATGAACTGTTTCTCCATGACGGTAAGTTGTTGAATGTGTTTGAATTTTGGAGTTTAGAGGCAGAGGTGGAGGAGGACATCGATTTCTTCTTCCTAATAGAGAAATATCAGCCTATTTAGTCATATAGTTACAAACAATGATAAATGTCTGATAAGAATGCCTGTGGTGTCAAGGATCATAGAAAATGTGGCAGACAGATTCTAGGAGCACCCCACCTCTTGAAGTTTACTTTCTTGTGTAACATTGCTCTCCACTAGTGGGACCTGTGACTTGCTTCTAGCCAGTAGCAAAGAAGATGGGTTAGTACGTGGTTATGTATACCTGATTGTGCAGCATAAATTTGTAACACCATTCTTGCTGAAAGACTCGCGAGTGGTTGTAAAGAAGCAAACTGCCACCTCATGAGCTTCCAAATGGAGGCAGGGGGCAAAGGGCCATCTTTAGCAAGAAATTGAAACCCTCAAATTCAGCAGCCTGAGAAGCCCTTAATGCTGTCCACACCCACAGGGAGCTTGGACAATGATTCCCCAGTCTCAGCTGTTACCTCGATAGCTGCTTTGCTATACACTGATGAGAGTGACCAAACTACAGCCAGACTCCTGACCAACATACAAAAGCTGTGAGGTAATATAGGAGTGATTTAAAGCTTGTGGTGAGGTATTTTACATTCATTATCTCCTCTGGCCCTAAATAACTTTTGTTCTTCAGTAGGGACTAATACTTCTCCCATACTATACATAAAGAAATTAAAATTTAGGAAGTAATAAACTAGTAAGAGCTGGCAGACCTATTCTTGAGTCTATGTCTACCTGAGTTAAAACCTGTTCTTAACTTTAAAACACTGTGTTGTTTTTCAATTGTTACTGTGATAAATTACCACAATTAGTGGCTTAAAACAACCCCAATTTATTTCTCTTAAATTCTGGAGACCAAAAGTTCAGAGTCAGTTTCATTGGGCTAAAATGGAGGCATCAGGAAGACAACAGCATTCCTTTTGGAGGTTTTAGAGGAGCACAGCTGCTTAGACTTTTCCTCTAGATTTCAGTTCCCCTTTCTTGTATCATTTGCTTCTTCCATTGTCAAATCTTCTACTTCATCTTCTGTAGTCAAGGTACATTTAAGGTCCAAATGAATAACTCCAGGTCACAGTGCCTCTTCAAGATCCTTAAATTAATCACTTCTACAAAGTTCCTTTTGCCACAGAAAGTAACATCTCTGGTTCCAAGGATTAGGATGTGTATATCTTTTGTGGGTGAGACATTACTCAGCCTTCTACACTGCATCTAATGACAATTCCCTATAAAATAAAGGGCAGGTTGGGCGGTGACTAATATGCAGAGGGGTTGTGCAATAGGTGTTAAGTAGGTTTTCCATTTTATTTTTGAAGCATGTTACAAGCAATTTGCTCACAATTTTCCCCTCTCCTGTTATACCAAGGTTGTTGCATATGACTGGAAAATTATAAAACTATCAAAGTTATTGTTCTGTGTTTTTAAAGAACTATAATAGATCAGATTATCTCTAGTCAGCTATCTCTTTCATTCCTCCTAGTATTATTTCAAGTCTTCAGCATTCTCTCCCAAGTTCTGCATTCACATCTTTGAACTGCCTATTAATGATGACATTGTCTCCTGTGTTACAGAGGAAACAGTGGCCCTCAAACCTTTTATCACTTCTTATCCCCCACCATATCCTCGAACTTCTGTTTAAGACTCAATTCAGATATCACCCATAACTTCTGTAATACTATCCACACCATATCAATCAGAATCTCAATGTCTGCTCAAGCACTTTGTACCTGACTTTATGATACCATTGGTCACATCAAAGCAATTATTTTTTTCATGTGTTCCTTCTGCCACACTTAGGCCTTCTTCATACCATGCTGTAGGTATGTTTAAATGACTAATGAACTGGTGTCTTCTGACAGGTAATCACCCCGCTTGAGCACACCCAGGGTAGAAATGTTACCTTAACGAACGCATTGTTGGATAACTCTTACTAGATGAGTTTCTATATTTCTTGTTCACTTCTGGATAATGTTCTTCTGTTTTTTGTGCTTTTTACCCCACTATTTTAGATTGAATGTCCACATCCACAACAAATATATGGCCATTGAGAAAAGTATTGTTATAAAGCTTCCAAGCTTGCAGTAATTGGCTCTAGTAATTCCCAGTAAGAAAATTTATTCACTCTAGCAAGAGATTTTAAATTTATAATACAGATTTTAAAATATTAAATTTAAAAGATATGTACTTTACAAACTAATACAAAGCTTCAAAATTCTTCAGATGGATTAAAGATTTTTAGCATTGGTTTAAAAGATATTTATTTAAAAACCAGGTTTAAAAGATATTTATTTTAAAACCAATACTAAAGAGTAGAATTAGTTATCACCAAAGACATATTTCAGAGCCTGTAGAATTTAAAGCTGATAAGATATGAGATATTATTTATCTAAGTGTGAAACTTAAAAATTTACCTTCACATACAGGAGATTCTGGGTACCAACCAAAGTTATAGCATTGAATCAAATCAGATCCACTTAGATGATAATTTTCATGACAGAAAAACTGAATCACATCTCCTTCTTCATAAGTTCGCTTTACAGGGTGAAAATATCCATTCTCTATTAATTTTAAAGCAGAGCATGTTAATCCTAAAAACAAAAGAATGGATAAAAAATGCAAAAAAGTGTTTATTTTTCCTACTAGAACAAAATTCACTTACTATTTATATGCCATATCTGGGATAGAAACTAATGAATCCGCTACATTCTGTTTTCATATATATGCTTATAGAATATATAAATATATTTATTTGAATATATTTGCTTTCATTTAACTTGTTTTCTTGTTTTAGAACTTTAAATTATCAAAGCCTATGATTCCCATAATTAAAACTAGAAGCAAAAAGCAAAATGGAAACTTGGTAGAATAGCAGCTTATATGCACGTCCATGTGAAGTCAATTTTCCAAGGTGAGCGTGGGCTCTTTTGAGAGCAAGAACTTACGGGTGCACTGTGGTGTGAGAGACCATCCGTGCGTGTGACATTCCATCTCTTCGGCCTGCTGTCCTCCAGCTGTGTAGTAGCCAGCAGCACATCTGTATTGTACTTTGTCCCCCACCTTGAATGTTTTCTGGGTTGTGGAATAATTTCCATTATGTAATTCAGGGGCCAAACATGTTTCTAAAAAATTAAAGTTATTTTATGAATGTTATCACAACCTAAAATATTAAAAAGAAGTCTCAAAATGTATTTTCATGGCAAAATCAACCTTTGTCAAAAATTGAAAAATAGTCGAAGTTTGCCTTTGCCTCTGAATGCTCTTTTTTCATATTCCGTGTGAGTGAATTCTGTCAATCTTCTGTTCTTAAAGTTCTGGCCCATTGTACTTGATCAAAGGCCACAATTGAAGCATTTCAAAGTAATATCTTTCTTTTTTTGCAGTACTGGGGTTTGAACTCAGGTCCTACACCTCGAGCCACTCGAACATTTTTTGTGAAGGTTTTTTTTCAAGATAGGGTCTCATGAACTTTGGCCCAGTCTGGCTTCGAACCAAGATCCTCTTGAAAAGCTAGGATTACAGGCATGAGCCACTGGTGCCTGGCTTACAATTTTTTGATTAGATGCCATCAGTGGATTTGTACAATTTAAACAAATTAAATCATGCTAGCAAGTTGTTCTATAATAAAGAAAATTGTGGCATTCATATTGTGAGAAAAAGGATTATTAAGGTGCTTCTCATTTTATCCCATTTCAATTCTTTTTTATTAAACCAAAGTAGGGATTGTCAGAGTGTGTTGTAGGAGTTGAGAATACACAGATTAAGAAAATACTTGGCATTTGAGCAAAACCATACAATTCTCATATTTGCAGACATAATTCTACTAAATGAAAATGCCTGTCAGTGGAAGAGAGTATACATCAAACACTCTTATCATCAGTGTTAGGAAATGCTTCTTGCACACATACCTTGTTCTTTCCTACAGCTTGGTTGGGAAGACCATCCATGAGCAAGACACTGAATCACTTCCTCATCCTTCCCACCAGTGGTTTTGTAGCCTGTAGCACAAACATAACTCATATTCTCTTGGATTTTGTACAAAAATTTCACATCAGAGATGTAGCCATTTCTTAGGTCAGGTTTAGTGCATTTTCCTACAGAGGAAAAATATTTCTTTTCTTAATGATGAAATTAAATTTGTGCTTTACTAAGTGGTAAACTGATGAAAAAAGTGTAATATTACCCTTAGTTGGAATTTAAAAGAATTTTGGAATTTCACTCCACAATTTCTTGATTTAATTTTGAAACATTTTTCATGTCCTACATAATATTTCTTTGGAAATGGATTTGATTTATTGACATTCTTTGTATTTACTAATTTTATTTTTATAGTCATTCCTATCCTTACTACATCTTCTTTTAGAAAATTCATCCTAAGCTCTTCCATAAATTGTTACTAATGCAAATTTAAGAAATTTCTTTTGGCTCTACTTCCTAACACATTTAGTCTATTGTATTTGGTAATGTAATAGGAACACATGTCTATTTAATACACTTTTAAGTTCTGCAAACATCTTGTCTTAATATGAAAACTTTGCTCATTCAGTCTTTCAGCAAGTATTTTGGAATCACCAGTAGTCAGCCCAAGCATAGTGCATTTAATCACAGATACTCTCTTCAAAACCTTTTTCACAGTTATTTTTAAAGTAAATACTTGAAACAGTTTTGTGTTAGATAATAAAATTGCCTTAATATCATGTAGTGCTCTATCACTTTTATAAGCTATATTACTAGACCATCATGAACAGACCAGTTTAGAAGAGTTGAAAGGCTCATCCAAGGTTAATATTTAATAAATGTAATACTTGTTGTGTGGCAAACACTATATGAGTTATTTCCCTGGAACAATATTAGCCCTACTTTATGGATGAGCAATGTAGGCTCAGAATGTTTGTCATGTTCCTAATGGTGAAGCTGGACTCGCTGCCTTCAGGATGATTGCAGAGGTTATATCTTAATCATTGTATTACCATGCTAACCTCCCTTTCAATGTTCTGTCTTCCAAGATAATTAATAAATCTAAAGTACATAATTTATTTCTATGCTCTGGTTAGAAGTGAGATTAATTTATTAGAGTTAACCTGTGTTTTTGTTAATACAAAAAATGCAAAGGCTAAATTATGGTCGGTCTTGAAGTCTCAAAATTAGTAATTATTCTAAAGAGATGTGTTTACTCAACCACAGTTACTACTATACCCAACTTTCTCTTCTAAGTGAAATGGACTCAACCAAAGTCCCATACTCTGGAAAACAAAGCTTAAAGAATTCTTAGCTCTAGAGAGTTCAGCTGACCCAGTAATAATGAGATGAATCCATTATAATTCCTTCTCACGCATTTGAACTCAAAATTCAGAAAGACACAGTTTTCAAAGGATAGTAGAAGGAGTAGGCACACAGAGCAGTGATGCATTTGCAAATGATAAAGCACCAGCTGTCCTTGCTAAGGGTGCGTCTCAGGCATTATTCTGGCTTCCTATCAAAAATGATGTATATGAGAATTTCCTCATTACTAAAAGTAATTCAATAGCATCTCTGTCCCCGTAGTGTGAAAAACAACCCTTTTGTTACTACCCTACTCCCTTCACAGCAAACTCTTAAAATAATATTTTAATATAAGAACATTATTTACAGAATTTCAGATTTGGTCAAAAAGAATACTTTTCCAGTAACTTTGTTCTTATTTTCCAAAAGGTTTAATCACTTTCCATAATTTATAGAAATACCTTAGCTTCTCTCTATAAACTAACTCCTTGCAATAGTAGCATCGTGTTGGCAACCTGTGCAACTTACTGAAGCACCTTGGCTCTGGAGCCCAGCCTTCTGTTGTACATCTGGTTCTCTCTTCTTGTTTCCCACTCTCAGTTGTGTAACCAGCCAAGCAGAAGAATGACAATTTCTTGTCTATGCTCATTGGAAAGTAAAAGGTTTTGAAAGTGTAATAATATTGGGCAATGTTTCCATTTTCCACATTCGGAAAGTCACAGTATTTCTCTGAAATGAGTAAAACTCAAGCTGAAAGTGGAAAAACATGCTAAAACCATGAAACTTATGATCAAGAAATGACACAATTTTAATTAAAAAATATTTGCAGACACTGCAGCTTGTACTTATTTTGAACTACCTATATTTTTAAAGTGGTTTTCTGACAATCCATATATCCCACACCATTTTTTCCCCATCATAATCTGCTAGCAACACTAAACAAGTCTGCTAGTCGGGATAAAACTGGCATGCCACATCTTCTGGGAAGTGTTCCCTATCTTTCTAGAATAGCATTCTCTCAGACACATAGTGCAAGTCACGTCTGTAATTTTTAAATTTCTAGTAGTCACATTAATGAAAGTGAAAACCAGTTAGGTTTTGTTTGAATGAAGTAAATTTATATTTGAATGATATATATTTATATGAAAATATTTCGCTTCTTTTTTTCTCTTACTCTTTAAATTCCAGTGGATATTTACATTAACAGCACTTCTCAACTTGGACCAACCACATTTCAGTCCTCACTAGCCACACAGTTTTTTCTCAGTATTGGCTGAGGGTTGAGTCCAAAAACCCCTGTAGAAACCAAAATCCAAGGATGTTCAAGTCTCTCCCATTAAATATCACCTCCTCCCGTGTGCTTTAACTTACTTCTAGATACTTACAACACAGTGCCTACCTATCACTTCGTTTGTATGGATTCAGCATTGTACTTGACACATGACAAATTCAAGTTTGTGTATAGTATTTAATACAACCAATTAAGTGTGGAAAATAGCAAAATCATTTTAACCAAAGAACTAATAAGCAAAATAAAATTTTAAAATTTATAATTTCTACTTTATGACAGTAAGATCCCCTATATTGTACAATTCCAGAGGCACCAACCACAGCTCAAAAGTATAGGAAAATAGCAGGAACCGAAAGGCAAAATTTAGTGAATTTGATTATATTAAAGTTAAGAATTTCTTTCAATGAAAGTTACTGTCCACAAAACACATACATAATATTTTAGGAGTTTGCAATGTCTAAAATTGTAAGTTTTTTAAAACTTTTTTTAAAAAATTGCAGTTTTTAATTAAAAAATCAGAGCTCTCACAAGCCAGCTATTAAAAGGCATAAGGTAGGAAAAAGTAATCATTTATATTCAGGAAATTTCAGAAGCCTTAACATCAAAAAATACATATAAAGAGGGCTGAGGGCTCAAGTGGTAGAGGGCTTGCCTGAGCACAAGCATGGATGGTGGAGAGGACAACTCTGACTTCTTTTAGAGGTTACATACTTTGAAATACCCATCCTGCAAAGTCATCTGTCACTATGTACTCACAGAAATCAAGTCCTAAAATGACCCAGCAATCCCACCTGTGAGTCAACATGAGCTAAAGAAATTCCCACAGAAACGTAAGAAGATTGATTGACAGTATGGATTACAGAGTTATTTGTGGTTAGGAGGAAATTAGAGTAACTACATGTCCATCATCAAATGAACAGATAACTAAAATATATTAACTACCATGCAGCAGTTAAAAGCAACAAAATAGGTCTAGTGAATTAGAAATAAATTTGAATAGCATCAAGTAAAATAAAACAAAAAGATAAAACCTACAGTATGTTTTCATTAATGTGAGTGTAAAACACATGCAATAACAATGCATATGAAGGTATTTGTGTAACTAAGGACATAACAAAACCTTCCCGAGGTTCTCAGCAGTGGTTGGGAAGATATGGGAATATGAGACCGAGGTCTCTGTCTTCAAACCACTCACTAGTTTTGCTAGTGTGAAATAAAATTACATCCATGTAGTAGAAAACTAGCTAGAACATTGGAACGCATCACAGTATAGATAATAGACAGTGATATCAGTATACACTTCCCAATTCAAACAGAAAAATAAAACCGTAGGCACTTTTCATGTAAAAATAATCCTGTTATAGAATTAAATGTATAAAATGAGGTAAATTATACTTCTTTCACTTTTATAATAATTACAGACATTTCTGATAGAAAATCTGTGGTAAACTATTTAACTGAAAGGAAATGATAACTTAAGGGTTTTTTGTTTCCACAAATTCTTTAAAGTGTTTATTTTAGAAAAGCTTTGTTTTTATGTTTCCTAACTTTACATGTTCACTCTTGCTGATTGCTAATTTAGCTCCTAGATTCTTAACCCCACAGTCTAATGACTGTTACTTCCTAAATAACGCACACTGGTACACTGCCTACCTTCCATGCTTATGCAAATCTTACACACTAGGCACTCTGGCTGTAAAGATTTCTAATTGTTAGAAAATCCACATGTATGGGTTGTTCTGATTTATAATGCTGCCCACACGAGATCACTAATAGAGTCCCCCTTGGCTGTCAAAAGTGTCCCCATTGTCTAATCAACTACACGGTCATCACTACTGAATGACTCCAGCCAGTGAATAAATTATCGGGACAAAGATCAAAGTTATCAAGAGCAGAAAATCTTGCTGATGATTTATGGTTATTTCTTTTTCAAATTGTCCACATCAAGTTCTCACTTTATGAACAGAGAATTCAAATTATACAAGTTTTTGTTAAAGTTAAGAATGGATTCTTGCATGAAGTTAGAATTAAGGTAAAAATGTGACTTCTTTAAACTGCCATATTATTCTTTAGAAAACCCTCTAAAGTATTTAGACTCTGGTTTCCCAAACTTAGAGAAACAGTTTTTTAAACTTATGCTACTACAAGAATAGTAGACAAGTTTTGCTCAAAGAAAAAGGTTGTTTAAATATTATAACAATTTGTATTTATAAAAAGCACCTGTTATAAAATGATGTATCAAAAATGAAAGATTAGGTTAAAATTCAAGTTGTATGCCTGTTAGAATCTCCATTTATATTTTAAAGAATAAGGAATATTAAGAATTAACTTTACCTTCTGCACAAAGGTCTCCTGAGATCATTAGTATAAAAATAAAGGCCAAATCCTTCAAGTTCATCTTCAGTGGTATGTTTCATAAAGATTTTTAACAATTCTGAACCTCCCAGGGACTCATCGTTAGGTACACAATTCTTCTCTTTAGGAAAAAGTTAATAATTTACCACATCTGTGCAAGTCCCTTTGGATCAATCCTAACATTTCCCTTAAAATATTTTCAGTTAATGTTGAAATAACACAACTATATTAATTGACATTACTTTTCATAGCAGAGTCCACTAACAACATGTTAAGCCATTAAGGGCTACAATAGCAGCATAAATAATTAACACAGGCTGCATATCGGTAAATTTTCACTTTGATTCCCAGTTTGTAGGTTCATAGAGTAAAGTTCACATGGCCATTGATGTTGACTGTCATTGATCAAGTGAAGAGATGAACTTAGGAACATGAGATGATGGTACCTGTTGTTAAAATACGTTGTTGTATATAATGTCACAAGGAAACTCTCTGTGTAGCTATCTTAAACAAAGAAAAATGTCATTATTTTCTCTTACAAAATCAGAGAACAGGAGGGTAGAACAGGTCCTGTCTGGAGGGTTGGTATAGTGGGAAGGGGAAGAGGTCGGGAAAGGGTGAAAGAGGTGAAAATGGCGCAAATAGTATGTACAAATGTGTGTAAATGGAAAAATGATGCCTGTTAAAACTATTTCATGAATGGGAAGAGGGAGAAATAAAGAAGAATGGTGGAGGGGGTGAATTCAAGTATTATAGATTTATATATTATAAAATATATAATGCCACAATTAACCCCCACCTAGCACACCAATAAAAAAATAAAAATAAAATATGTTGTTGTTTGGATTGTACCCCTTAAAGACAAATTATCTTAGCTCTCTTAAGCCATAAAAGAATTATAAAATGAATAATAATTTACATTATAACATTTAGAAAGCTTGAACTCTGGCAAGTGGTGAGATAAATACCAGTTATTTATGAAAAATGTCTAGTGTCCACTATATGCAAGTCCGTGTTGCAGTCTTGGAATAGACAGCAGTGAAAAACGCACTAAAGTTATTATTCTCACAGGGTTTGTATTCTAACGAGCTTTGATTTAAAATAAAACAATAGTAATAATACGCAAGGTGGAGGTTATTATTATTTGAACTTTGGAATGTTTTATTAAGATGTATTAACTGGAAAGTGTGCATACCATAAGTGCACATATCAATGAATTGTCAGAAACTATGCACATCCATGAAACAGAAGATAACAACACTGCAACTCCCCCTTCTCAGTCCCAACTTATACCCACCCCACTGCTAAAGACTACCTTTACTTCTAACAGTGTAGATAACTCCTCCAGGTTTTCTAGAACATAAATGACACCATTTAGTATACTTTATTTTATGCCTGATTCCTTTCCCTTAACATTTCTTTATGAGACTCATCCATATTTTGCAGTGCAGCAAATAGTTCCTCTTCTATATAGCATTTTACTCTGTGAATATACCACAAATCATTTTTCCATTCTACTGTTCATGGAAAATTGGGTGATTCACAATTTAAGAAAATGATATAGCATCTGCTTATTTTCAAAGATTGTTTTCATTTGAAAACTTTCAAACAGAGCCTCTTCTTAGATTCTACCATTAGCATTTTATTAGGGTTTTCTTTTTAACCCTTAGATGTTCAATCACTGTAACTTTTAACAGATGTAAGGAATTTGTTTTGCATAATCTAAACTGTATCCTTTAACTAACACTTATTTTCCTCTTCCTTAGGCCCCTGGCAACCACAATCCTACTCTTTCTTCTATGTGTTTGACTATTTTGGTAACACATGTGAGTGAGAGCATTGGGTATTTATCTTTCCATGTCTGTCTATTTCACTCAGCATGATATCATCCAGGTCCATCCATGTTGTTATAAATGGCAGGGTTTTCTTCTTTTTCAAGGCACTATAATAAATCATGGCATGTATATGTTACTTTTCTTTATCCTTCTCAGCAGACATTTGGGTTGTTTCCTTACTTTGACTATTGTGTAATGCTGCAATGAACATGACAGTGCAAATATTTCTTTGAGATCTTTATTTCAATTCCTTTTGGGCATATATCCAGAAATGGGATTATTGGATCAAATGGTAATTTAATTTTTTTTTGGTAGTACTGAGATTTGAACTCAGGGCCTCATGCTTGCTAGGCAGGTAGGCACTCTACCACTTAAACCACTCCACCAGTCCCCCTTTTTAGTGTGTGTTGGTTATTTTCAAGATAAGATCTTGCGAACTTTGTCTAGGCTGACTTTGAACCATGTTCCTCCTGATCTCTGTCTTTTGAGTCACTAGGATTACAGGTGTGAACCACTGGAGCCCAGTGGTAATTCTATTTTTGATGTTTATAGAAAAGTTCATATTTTTTCCATAGGACTGTACCATTTACCTTCATACTAATAATGTACAATGATTCTCTTTTCTCCACATCCTCGCCAACAGTTATCCTTTATTTTGGTGATAATAACCATTGTAACAATCACAATCTTTTAAAAATAATAACCATTGTGAAGTTGAGAATAGTGGTTGTGAAGTGGTATCTCATGTGATTTGCATTTCCCTGATGATTAGTGACAATGAACACCTTTTCATATATCTGCCAGCCAATTTGCTTGTCTTCTTTGAAATAATGTCTATTCATGATTTTGCCTGTCTTTTGTTATTATGTCTTAGGAGTTCCTCATATATTTTGGATATTAACACCATATCAAATTTATAGTCGGCAATATTTTCTCCAACTCTATGGGTTGTCTCTGGGCTCTGCTGTGTTTTGTGTGGCATGCAGAAAATTTTTAGCTATATTCTCATTTCTCTATTTTTGCTATTTCTGTTTAAGCTTTGGGGTCAATTCTAAGAAATTATGGTCTAGACCAACATCTAGAAACTTTTCCCCTAGGTTTTCTTCTGAGTTTTACTGTTTTCACGTTCTACATTTAAGTTTCTAAACAATTTGAGTTGATTTTTGCATATTATGCAAAATGAAGTTCTAAGTTCATTTTTTGTTGATGGGTAATTCAGTTTTCCCAACACCAGTTAGGAAAGAGTATCTTTTCTCCATTGTGAATTCTTGGTGCATTTGCTGAAGAGCAGTTCACTGTACAGCTGTGGATTATTTCTGAGTGTCCTATTCTGTTCCACTGGATGGTTTCCTTATGTTTACAACACAAACATACTTCTATAAATACCATAGTTTTGTAATGTGTTTTTGAAACCAGGAAGTATGATATCTCAGTTTTGCTCTTATTGCTCAAACTTGCTTCAGCTTTTGGGAATTTCTTGTGGTTCCAAGAGAATTTTATGATTTTTTTTGTCTTTTTCTGTTTAAAAAATACCATTTAGTTTTTGAAAGGACTACGTTAAATCAATAAGTCACTTTGGGAAGTATGGACAATTTTCCAATAAAATAGGATGTTCTTCTAATTGTGTTTAGAAATTTCATCAGTGTTTTGTAATGTTCAGGATACAAGGATTTCATCTCCTTGGATAAACTTATTTTTAAGTTTTTTTGGTTTTTTTTTTGTGTGTGTGTACTGGGGCTTGAACTCAGGGTCTACACTTTGAACCACTCCACCAGCCCTATTTTTGTTTGAGTCTTGCAAACTATTTGCCCAGGCTGGCTTCGAACCATGATCCTCCTGATCTCTGCCTCCTGAGTAGCTAGGCTTATAGGCATGAGCCACTGGCTTCCAGCTTATTTCTAAGTATTATTATGCAATTGTAAGTGAAATTGATTTCTTAATATCCTTTACTGACTGGTCACTGTTACTGTATTTAAAGGCCATGGATCTTGTGTTGATTTGTGTTGATCTGTGACTACACTGAACTCACTTAATTCTAACAGTTCTTTTTCCTGTGGCACTTACAGGGTTTTATACCCATAGAAGATTTTGTCACCTGCAAACAGAAATTTTCTTATTCCTTTCCAATCAGGGTACCTTTTATTTTTCCTTTCCTAATTGTTCTGGCTGTGATTTATGGTACTATGTTGAAAAAAAGAGGCAAGAGTGGGCATCCTTGTTATGTTCAGATCTAGAGAAAAATTCAGATTTTTGCCACTGAGAATGATGTTGCCTTGGGCTTTTCATAAATGGTTATCTCCATCCTGTTTTTGTTGCTATAAAAGAATACCTCTGACTGAGTAATTTATAAAGAAAAGAATCTTATTTATCTCATGGTTCTAGAGGATGCATGTCCACAATCAGGGCAGCTGTGTATGGTGAGGGTCTCAGGTTGCTTGTCCACAAGGCAGAAGGCAGAAGTAGAGGGGATGACCATGGAGAAAAGGGGGAAGAACTCTCGAGAGCACTAACCCATTTCAGAAAGGAAGACATTAACTTACTCACTGGGTACGCAAGTCCCATCTCCCAACAGTACTGCATTGAGGAACTCCAGTACATGAACTTTTTGGAAGATATACTCAAACCATAGCAACAGTCTTTATTGTGCAGCCATGACGGACTAGTTTTAATTTTTCTCAAAATATATGGTAAAGTTCAGCCATGATGGAAGTATGTTTTTTCTCTGTTGGGAGGTTTTTTCCTTACTTCTTCAGTCTCTTATTATTGGTCTGTTCTGAGTTTTAAATTCTTCCTTACTCAGTCTTGCTTCTATTTTATGTTGAAGAAAATATCTGATGTGAGATACTTTATAAAGAAAAGACGTTTATTTAATTTACCATTTTGCAAGTCCAAAGGCATGACACTGGTATCTACCTCATGTTAGAAGGCAACCCATGGCAAGCATGTAGGTGAGAGGCATGTAGATTAGAAGCAAGACTAAAGGGAACTGTATTTGTTTTTTTTTATAACAAGCCACTCTTGTAGGAATTAATTTAATTCTTTGGGACCCAACCAACCTATTCAGAAAGACCAAGAATAATCCACTTATGAGAGTGGAACACTCATGAATGGATTACCTTCCATTAGACCCTACCTCTTAAAGGTTCCACCAACTCAACACCACCATACAGATGGTGCTTACAACACAAGAATCTTTGGGGGGCAAACTACATCCAAATCTTAGCACTACTTTTATGTTTCTAGGAA